AGCTCAACATTTTCACCTGAAAAATCAGCTTTTCTCTCCCAAAATGAACTGATTTCACTTCAACAAAATATTAAAAGCAGCTGCAAGGAAATACAAAAAGTCTGCACAGAGAAAACTGGAATATCATCAGGTTAGGAAAGAACAGAACCTCCTGTTCCCAAAGAAAAAAAGATAAGAAGGAGGAAGAGAAGAAACTACAAGTCAAGAAGAAAACTCAAGTTTTCCATGAAGAAGATGCATCTTCCACAAGCAACTCATCAGAATGTGCTTTAACCCACATGCACAGATGATGAAAAGTAATTCAGGAGCTTCTGTGAACATTTCTATGCAGTCCACTGTGTTTTTTCCACTTATTTCAGTAATTCCCTGCAGTTTCACTTTCAGTTCTCCCCGTCCCACAGCACTGGGCTGTGCTAATTTTTAAGTATTACAGAAAGACAGAAGGAGGAAAGAAAGGAACTTAGACAAAAACAAGGGTGTGTGGCAAAATTATTAAAAAGTGATGGTATTTATATTTACATTCTTTGTGATGCCCCATCCCTGGAAGTGTCCAAGGCCAGGTTGGACGGGGCTTGGAGCAACCTGGGCTGGTGGAAGGTGTCCCTGCCCAGGGCAGGGGTGGCACTGGATGAGCTTTAATGTCCCTCCCCACCCAAACTATTCCATGATTTATCCCTTTACAGGAATGCGATGCTCAGCCCCGGAGCAAAGCGAGGGCTCTTCAAGAGCGCTATTAAAGTTTGAAGACTTGAGAGAGGCAGGAGAAGAAAAAAAACCCACCCAGATCAATCCTGCGGTTCCCCAGCGACCAATTCGGGCTGTAAATCCGCACCTGGGGCAGCGACGGGGCGGGATGAGGCAGGACCCCGAGCCGCACTCAAAGCCCCGCCGGGAACGGTAACGCTCGAAATAAATCGCCATTTAGACACAACGAGCCTCTTTTTTCCCCCTTCAAATCTCACCCTCAGAGCCCAAAATCCGCGCGCGGCACCGGCGGCGCCTCCCCGGGCGAGGTCAGGCGGTGACACACCTGGACGCGCCGGGGCCGGCCCGGAGCGCCCTCGTGGGCCCACTTTCTCTCTGTCTCCCGCTCCCATTCCCACTCCCATTCCCAATCCCGTTCCTGTTCCCAATCCCATTCCCATTCCCCCTGGCCCCGGCCCCCCGTACCCGCTCCTGGGCGCGACTCTTCCGCCTGCGGCCGCTGAACCCCGTGAGTGACGCGCCCCCCCGCCAATCAGGAGCGAGCGCCGCGCGTCAGCCGGGGCTGGGTGAGAACGGAGCGTCGCGATTGGTCAATGCGGCGGTGAGCCCCGCCCCTTTACCCCGAGGGCGGGGCGGGAAGGGGCGGAGGCAACGCGCTCCCGCCTTTCCCCTCAGGCCCCGCCCCCTTTTCCCCGTCATGGCCGCCCCCCCTCAGAGCCCGGCGGCCCCTCAGAGCCCACAGACCTCCCACACGGCCCGAAATGACCCCCGCCCTCCTCCACGCCCCCCAAAAAAGCGCCAACATTAATATTTTCAAGCAGTTCCCATGTCGGAATAGATAAAACTTCACCCCCCAAAACGCCGTTGCGCCTCAGCCCCGTGACTGGTTTAATAAAAGCAAACGGAATTAACGAGCAAGTTCGTAGGATTAAAGAATCACGGAATGGGTTGGGTGGGGAGGGACCAGCAAAAGGGGAGTCACAAAAACATCAATAAACTAACCGAGGAACATATTCCATCTAAAACCACGAAACAAATACGTGACAGAAGATGGATGTTGAATAAAAGCCCTGTGAGAAGGAAAGGAACTGGATCAAAGTCAACAGATTGAAGAATAAAGATTTACCACTTGTCTTTTTCTCTTGCAAGATTCCCTGCTCTTGCTTCTCCTTTTACTCCTTCTCTGTATCTCCACGTTCATCCTGAGATGTAATTACTCTGAAACAAAGGGATCCTCAGCAGGCCTTGACATTTACAATGTCTACAGAATAGAAGAATTTCTTTCCAAAATCGAATCTAAAGCTCTCTTTCAGTTTTAAACCATTCCCCCTTGTCCTCTCACTCCCTTTCCTTGGAAAGCACTGACATGGATAATTAGCTCACTAAAGGTGCTTGAAAGAGCCATCAGATTGTTGGGCAAGAAAGAAATTCTTCACCCTGAGAAAAACGGATACTTCAATTAATATATCTTATATATCTTACACAAACCATCATTTTCTTCATATTAAGGTATCACCTAGTGAAACCTTTCAACCCACAAGCTGTAAGGTCATTGAACCAACACGTGGACGTTCTGGGAATAATCAATATGTCTGGTTCTGGAAGTAGCAGTGATTTCACCCTTTTGAGGTCAACGATAAAATAACATTTATCAAATTCAAGTTCACAGTCTGTGGCAGCTCGAAAAATTCCTTCTGAAGGCCGTTCTCTCCTGGCTTTTTCTTCCACAGCAGTTGGTATTCCTTGTTCTAGAAGGATGTACTAAATACTTGTTCTAGCAGGATTTACTAAACACTGCTCTGAAGATTTTGTGAGCTCAGAGCAACAAAATTATAGACCAGCCCTGCAAAAATGTACTCCTCCACACACCTGGGGAAAACAGAAATGTAAATTATTTTCCCATCATCACCGTAAATGTTGAAGAAGTGGATTTTTGTGCCTGGCAGTTTGGATGACAACAGTGTCGGGCTGATTTAAAGTGCTGGAGTCAGGTCACACCTACTCCATTTAAACCTGAGGAGTCTGAATAAGAAGATAAAAATCCCCCACTCTGCTGATTCATCCATTACAGCAACTTCAATGCTGAAACTGCTGATGCTTCACTTCATCAAGGGCCAAACTTCTTTCCAGCAAGGCTGCATTTACTGCAAACTCGTTTCTGTTTTATCTTGTGCAATGAATTCGATTTGCTCTTTAAATCTCCCACTGGAGTGGTTTAAACAGTAATTCAGATCCAATTCCTGTGGATCATAATGAAAAGTTAAATGCAATCTTTTAAAGAATATTATCATAGAATCATAGAATCATCTGGGTTGAAAGGGACCTCTGAGATCATCAAGTCCAACCCTTGATCCAACCCCGCTGTGGTTCCCAGCCCATGGCACTGATGCCACATCCAGTCTGTCCTTAAACACCTCCAGGGATGGAGAATCCACCCCTTCCCTGGGCAGCCCATTCCAATGGCTGAGCACCCTCTCTGCAAAGAAATTCTTTCTAATATCCAACCTAAACCTCCCCTGGCACAGCTGAAGACCCTGAGCCCTCTTGTCTTGCTGAGAGTTGCCTGGGAGAAGAGACCAACCCCCCCCTGGCTCCCCCCTCCTGTCAGGGAGTTGCAGAGAGTGAGGAGGTCTCCCCTGAGCCTCCTCTTCTCCAGGCTGAGCCCCCCCAGCTCCCTCAGCCTCTCCTCACAGCACTTGTGCTCCAGTCCCTTCCCCAGCCTCGTTGCTCTCCTCTGGACCTGCTCCAGCCCCTCAATGTCCTTCCTGAGCTGAGGGCCCAGAGCTGGACACAGCACTCCAGGGGTGGCCTCACCAGCGCTGAGTCCAGGGCAAGAATCACTTCCTTGGCCCTGTTGGCCACACTGTTCCTGAGCCAGGCCAGGATCCATTGGCCTTCTTGGCCACCTGGGCACACTCTGGCTCCTGTTCAGCTCCCTGTCCACCCACACTCCCAGGTCCCTTCCTGCCTGGCTGCTCTCCAGCCACTCTGTCCCCAGCCTGGAGCTGCAGGGGGTTGTTGTGGCCAAAGTGCAGGACCCGGCCCTTGGCCTGGTTGAACCTCATCCCGTTGGAATCAGCCCAACTCTCCAGCCTGTCCAGGTCCCTCTGCAGAGCCCTCCTGCCTTCCAGCTGATCAACACTCCCCCCCAGCTTGGTGTCACCTGCAAATTTGCTGATGATGGACTCAATTCCCTCATCTAAATCATCAATAAAGATATTAAACAGATTATGTCAAAGGGCTTCCAGAAAAGTATGTTTAATTTACAGTTTTCATTCTAAATAAAAATAAATTATTGAAATAAACAGACATTCAATCACACAGCTCTTGGAGCCAGGCTGGGAGAGCTGGGGGGGTTCACCTGGAGAAGAGAAGGCTCCAGGGAGAGCTGAGAGCCCCTTGCAGGGCCTAAAGGGGCTCCAGGAGAGCTGGAGAGGGACTGGGGACAAGGGATGGAAGGACAGGAAAAGCAGGAATGGCTTCCCACTGCCAGAGGATATTGGGAAGGAATTCCTGTTTGGGAGGGTGGGGAGGCCCTGGCCCAGGTTGCCCAGAGAAGCTGTGGCTGCCCCTGGATCCCTGGAAGTGTCCAAGGCCAGGTTGGACGGGGCATCCAGTGCCACCCCTGCCATGGGCAGGGACACCTTCCACCAGCCCAGGTTGCTCCAAGCCCCGTCCAACCTGGCCTTGGACACTTCCAGGGATCCAGGGGCAGCCACAGCTTCTCTGGGCAACCTGGGCCAGGGCCTCCCCACCCTCCCAAACAGGAATTCCTTCCTAAACCTTGTCATGACTAATTTGCTGTAACACCGAGGCTTGAAAGACCCAGAGTGTTCACGAACAAATAAATTTCCAAGACCTGTTTCTATGTTAAAGGTCCAAAAATGGACTTCTGCATATGTACAGTCCAAGCCCAGACATTCAGAACCCTCCCTTCAGGGCCATATAATTTAACCTTAAATAGATGAACGGGCCTTTAAAATATGTGCATTGAACCTGCCAACGATTTATGAACTGCAAGTATTTAAATATAAAGGTCAAACTAACACAGCACAGCAAGACTTTTGCTGCCACTTTATCTTTTAATGTGTTTTTCCTATGCCTCAATTTTCCCTTTTGAAGAGATAACAGACTGTAAAGGTGATTACACTCTGTGCTAAAGCGAAGCATTAATTTGGATTTAAGCAGAAGTAAAATGACCTGAGAGTAGTGGGTTTAACCCTAAGCACAGGGGAGGTGTGAGGGGCAGAAAAAGGCCCCTGCTCAGTGACAAAAATTAACTCTACCACAGCCCGAACTGGCACATTTCTTTTAATAATATTTAAAAATAAATTCATTATTTGTAATGCAAATGCCCATCCGACAACCAAATTTCTTTTAACTGCTGTAACAGTGTGGATTTGACATTTTCAGTGTACCCGAAATTTCTGTAGTGCAACATTTCATTAATAAAGTGCATTCAAAATCTTCACAAGAGACAGGAATTAGTATTAAATTATTTCAGTGTAAAGTTTAACCACTTAAACAGAGAAGACCTCCACCCAAACCTTTTACCATCTTCCCCTTGGCTTTCCTTTGTGTCTGCATGTGAAACCTTTTCCACCAGAGCCTCATAAGTCTTTTGTGCTCGAACGATTTCCTTCTCTGGGCTGAAATGCACCATCTGCCTGCTCATGATGGGAACGACCAGATTGAAGTTGTCGACTCTCTTGTTCAGTTTCCTGATGTCTTCCATGAACTGCTCGCAGACCCGACTCCACTGCTTCTGCTCCAGCGGGGTCATGGGCTCTCCCAGCTTCCTCCTCGAGGCCACCACGCTCTCCCTCAGCCGCTCGATGGTTTCCCGGATCTCCTTCTGCAGCAGGATCCACTCGGGCTGGTACCCGTTGTCAATCAGGATCCTGTTGAGGTTGTGGGTCATGGGGTCGATGTGGGGACAGTCCGAGAACTTCTGCAGAGGTTTCCCTTTGCCCCTGAGGTTGTCGAAGTCTCCCTTGGCCATGGATTCCTGGATGAGGTCCTCCACCAGCCGTTCCACCGCTTGAGTTATTTTCACCTTCTTGCTCTCCCTCACATCTTTGGCTCTCATCAGGTCGGTCTCGGGGTAGCTGCTCCCGAGCCTGTTCTGCCTGTACTCCAACACCTGCTCCGTGGCGCGGTCCACTCGGAACTGCATGTACTGCTTCTCCCTCTGGCTCGGCGTTCCGATGCCGACGCCCTCAAAGCTCAAGTAGTGCCTGTGCTGTAGGGACTTGGATTTGAACTGGTCTTCCTCCTCTTCGCTGCTCTCGCCGGGTTTCTGCTTGGCTGCCACGTCGTTGAGCACGACCCTGTAGGCCTCCTCCACCCTGATGAAGGTGGCGGGGTCGGCCGTGCTGGAGCTGCTGTCGGGGTGGTACTTTTTGGCGAGGGTTCGGTACGAGTTCCTCACCTCGTCGAGGGAACAGCCTTCCTCGAGCTCCAGGATTTTGTAAGAGTCCTTGACGTCGCCTTTGGGTTTGTAACCCGACAACATCCTGCAGAGAAACGGCTTCAGCTTCCTCGGGATCATGGCTCCCTGTCCCAGGAAACGGTGCCCCATGGTGTTGGTCAGCATGGCACAGAGACACTGGGGATTTCTTCAGGTGCAGCTACATTATAAACAGCCTACAAACACATTTGTGTTTGAACTGGGTTAAATATGCTTTTTTAAAGAACTCCCAGGATTTATGTCTTATCTTTATGGTATCATAGAATCATGGAATCACAGGAGGACTTGGGTTGGAAAGGACCTTAAAAATCATCTCATTCCGTCCCACCCCTGCCATGGGCAGGGACACCTTCCACCAGCCCAGGTTGCTCCAAGCCCCGTCCAACCTGGCCTTGGACACTTCCAGGGATCCAGGGGCAGCCACAGCTTCTCTGGGCAACCTGGGCCAGGGCCTCCCCACCCTCCCAGCCAGGAATTCCTTCCCAATATCCCACCTAACCCTACCCTCCTTCAGCTTAACACCATTAATCTGCACTTCTAATTAATTAATATTGAAGTCACATTACAATGTAAAAGAAAATTAATTCATACTATAGTTTTCTCCTACAACGGCAGCACGGGTTTGTTTTGCAGTGCAGAATTCCCACAAAGCATTTTTACTGCCTTTCTTTGATTTTTTTATTAATTATTTTCTTGCCCTTATTGCCTATCAGCAAACTCTGAGCAGGGTAAACCGGAAACACCCTTTATGCTGAGGGGTAACTGCTGAAATGAATCCTTCCCTTTTCCCCTCTGTACCTACATTCAGCATTATCTGAATTTCCCACTCCCACAGATCCCACAGATCCCACAGATCCCAATGCCTCAACATGTACAACCTGGAACACTCCCAAAGGATGTCATCACAGCACGTTTTTGGTCCTTCCCAGCAACATCTGTAGCAGTGTTCAGGTTATACATTCATTTAGACTGGCTCTTGTACCCCAGCAGGGGCCAAACTCCTTCGCTGCTGCCAGGTAAGGCTGGAAACCTGGAACTGAGAACAGATCAATAGTGGTCAGTATTTCCCTCCGTCAGCAATTCCAGTGCTTCGGGATTATTTGGGAAAAGAGCAAAAGGAACAGCTTATAAGTCAGGTCTTTATGTAAGTTCAAAGTAGAAGAATATAACACAAACTGCACCCACCATTTAAACATAGCTAACTCCTTTATTCTCAGAAATAAATCCTAAGGGAACTGCTGGATCACTGGTGCTAAAAGCTCAGGGAGGGCAACATCCCCTTGGCTGACTCAATTTCCAAACAAAAAACTAGGTCAAACAAAGGTTAATTAAGGACTAAATAGCACTTATCTGTCCTGTACATAAAAAACTGGCCTTCTGCCCCAACCCAGAGAGGGAAAAGGAATTCTGTGTTAGTTTTCAGGGCCGATGCTCTGTAAGAGATCTCAAGAGCTCTCAGAAAAAAATGTAAATCATTTTATGTTGGACACCAACCAAAGCAAGCCTCCATCTCTGCAGACAGCTTCAGAGGGTCTGACCACTTTGCCTGGCATGCATAGAATGCACAGGATGATGTTCTTGGGAATGGATCAATCCTAAATGCTTCCAGCTGATTTTGATCTATGTCACTTGTTGAGTCGTCAGCTTGTGATAATGGACTTCATTAACACGTGGGGTTTTTTAAATTTATGATATAGAGTAGTGATTTCTTTCGTTCTAGGTGTCAAAGATAATAACTGAGTTTTATATGGCCATAAAAACCTGCGTCACTACTACTTAAACAGAAAGAACAAGGACTACACTCTTTAATTCAATCACTGCTCAGAAAGTGACTTTCTCGTAGCTGCGCAGCCATTAATTTAATATATTTGTGCTTAAAGAAGCGTGAATAGAACCCCGGCTCCACCCAAAGGGAGGTTATCCCCGGCGGGGACTGGGAAGGGGAACCGGGCTGAGCCCCCCAGGACCCCCATCCCTCCATCCCTCCCTCCCTGTCCCGCAGGCCGGGGGGTCTCCCCGCAGCGCCCCCCGCACCTGAGAGCCCCGAGCCCCCCCGGCTCACCTGGAGCCCCGGGCCGAGCGGGCCGGTAACGGCGGCGGGGAGGAAGAGGAGGGCGCAGAGGAAGAGCAGAGGATGAGGAGGCCGCTGTGACCCCGCGCTCAAGGACGGGAGGGAGGGAGAGACACAGAGAGAGGGGCGGGAACGGGGAGGGACGGAGGGAGGGAACGAGGGGGAAGGAGAGGAGACGGGGAAGGAGGGGGGGAAAAGGGAGGGAGGAAAGGACGGAGCAGAAGAAGAAGGGAGTAAGGGAGGGAAGAATGGCGGGGAGAGCGACAGGGAGGGCGGCGGGAGAGGGAAGGAGGGCCGAGAGCAAGGGAAGGAGGGCCCAGAGCGAGGGAAGGAGGGCCCAGAGCAAGGGAAGGACGGCCGAGAGCGAGGGAAGGAGGGCCGAGAGCGAGGGAAGGAGGGCCGAGAGCGAGGGAAGGAGGGCCCAGAGCGAGGGAAGGAGGGCCCAGAGCGAGGGAAGGACGGCCGAGAGCGAGGGAAGGAGGGCCCAGAGCGAGGGAAGGAGGGCCCAGAGCGAGGGAAGGAGGGCCCAGAGCAAGGGCAGGAGGGCCGAGAGCGAGGGACGCGGGGCAGAGCAGAGCGAGGCTGGGGAGCCCCCGCTGTTCCCCGCCAGGGGCCGCCCGAGAGCCGCGGCAGCCGCGGGCGGGGCCGTGAGGGGACGGGGCGGCCGTGAGGGGACGGGGCGGCCGTGAGGGGACGGGGCGGCCGTGAGGGGACGGGGCGGCCGTGAGGGGACGGGGCGGCCCTGAGGGGACGGGGCGGCCCTGAGGGGCTGAGGGTCCTGGCGCTGGGATTGCTGCACGTCCGCTCCCACACACAGACCCCCAGCGCCCTTTTTAGGCTTTGTCCTCCCGAGGCGGTTCCGCCTGAGCGGGGGAAGGATCCGCTGCCTCGTCACGGGCTCGTCAAACAGCTTCCCCGGAGTGCGGGGGACGGTTCCCCACAGGCTCGCGCTGCCGCCCCTGCCCCAATAAGGCGCCTTCAGCTGCTGCGAGGGGCTCTGAGAGTCCCCTCAGGCAGGGCTAGATGGAATATTGGCAAGAAATCCTTCCCTGTGAGGGGGGGAGAGACATAGAGCTGCTGCAGGAGCTGCACAGGAGGCTCCTGCTCCGGC